GGAACACCCGTGCAGCCCCCGAGCGAGCCGGCCGGCGGTGTGCCGCTCCCCTGCGGAAGTGGGGAATGCGGCCAGGGGGAACTGCCCTTCCACAGAGGTGGAAGGGATAGTAGCCAACCCGGGAAGAACCAGCAGCAAACCCGGGGAGGGCCGAGCAGACAGAAAGAACAGCGCAGGGTTCAGTGTTGCTCCTCCATGAAGAGGGGGAGCGACATAATGGTGCCGTGACTTGGATATGAAGCCTAGGCAGGGTTTAGTGTCGTTCCTCCACGAAGAGGGGGAGCGACAGAACATAGTGATTCTTTCCACCATACCCACACTCCCACACCTCTTCCTCCTCCCTCTTCTATTCCCATTCTTATTTTTTACTAAGATCTATTTTCAACCAACTTTGTACATATATGATTAACTCTATACTAAGTAAAGAGCTCAACAAATAGTTTGAAAAAAAAAAAAAACTGCTCCTCAACAGTCAAGACAAGGGCTATTCAAAGTCATTGCATCTCAAAGTGCTCAAAGTGTCAATTTCACTTCTGTAGCATACCTTTTAGGTGCTATATTAGTTATCACAGATTAGGGAGAACATGTGGTATTTGTCCTTTTAGGACTGGCTTATTTCACTAAGTATGATTTTTTTGAATTTCATTCATTTTGTTGGAAACAACAAGATTTCATATTTTTTACTGCTATGTTGTATTCTGTGGTGTCATATCCCATAATTTCTTTATCCAGTCTTCAGTTGATGGACATTTGGGTTGATTCCATACCTTAGCTATTGTGAATTGACCTACAATAAACATGGGGGCACAGATAACTCTTTCATATGCCGATTTCACTTCCCTTGGGTAAATTCCCAGGAGTGGGATGGCTGGGTTATATGATAGGTCCATATTCAGATTTCTATACTGTGTTCCACAGTGGCTGTACCAGTTTACATTCCCACCAACAGTGGATTAGAGTACCTTTTTCCCCACATCCTCACCAGCTTTTTTTTTTATTTGACAGATAAAGTTAGACAATGAGAGAGAGAGAGCAGAGAGAAAGGTCTTCCTTCCGTTGGTTTACCCCCCAAATGGCTGCTACGGCTGGCACTATGCCAATACGAAGCTAGGAGCCAGGTGCTTCCTCCTGGTCTCCCACATGGGTGCAGGTCCAAGCACTTGGGCCATCCTCCACTGCCTTCCCAGGCCACAGCAGAGAGCTAGATTGGAAGAGGAGCAGCCAGGACTAGAACCCGGCGCCCATATGGGAGCCGGTACCACAGGTGGAAGATTAGCCAAGTGAGCTATGGCGCTGGCCCCCTCATCAGCTTTTGTTGTTTGTTGATTTCTGTATGAAAGCCATTCTAATAGGGGTGAGGTGAAACCTCATTGTGGTTTTGCTTTGCATTTCCCTGAAGGCTAGTTGATCCTGAGCATTTTTTTCATGTCTGTTGCCATTTGGATTTCCTCTTTTGAAAAGTGCTTGTTTAAGTCCTTTGCCCATTTCTTAACTGGGTTGTTTGTTTTGTTGTTGTTGAGTTTTTAAAATCTTTTTTCTATATTCTGGTTATTAATCCTTTATAAGTTGCAGAATTTGCAAATAATTTCTCCTATTCTTTCAGTTGCCTCTTCACTTTCCTGAGTGTTTCTTCTGCAGTACAGAAGCTTCTCAATTTGATGTAATCTCATTTGTCAATTTTGGCTTTGATTGCCTGTGTCTCTGGGGTCTTTTCCAAGAACTCTTTGCTTATACCAGTGTCTTGCAGGGTTTTCTCAATATTTTCTAATAATTTGATGGTATCAGTTCATATATTTAGGTCTTTAATCCATTTTGAGTGTGTAAGGATTTTGTGTAAGGTGTAAGGTTGGAGTCTTGCTTCATAATTCTGCTTGTGGAGATCCAGTTTTCTCGAATGAGAAGTTGAATGAGGAGGACCTTTTGACAGCACAAGTTTATCACGCCTTTACCTCTAAGCTTTTCTCACAGTGCCCTCTAGTCATTTACTAGAGTGTGCAATGAAGATAGGAAAGTGGTCCATACTTTTGAAGGTGTTCCCCAAAATGTAGTAACAGGAGTTTCAACCCCATTTATTATCTGCTGTAAGCTACTGTTGCTGTTGATTTCTTCTGAGAGGATTCATCACATTCAAGTATCACTAATGTTTGCCTTACTATATAACAGCTAAATTCTTACAACAGCTTCTGCCCTCAATCTTTTGTGATATTGTATTAAACAGCCTTTTTGAAAACTCCACTGTAATCCATGAGAGAATGAGAATAAAGGGGCAAATAATGTATTAGTTTTATTATGAAAATAGAATTGACCTTACAGACCCTCCAAAAAGGTCTCAAGTATCCGCAGAGTAGCCCAGACCACACTTCGAAAACTATTGCTCCTTTAGAAAGGATACAATAGTGATTCTGCTAAGCTTTGAATGTAAAGGCTTCTTTGAACACAGAAGCTTCTCCATTTAAGGACTGAACGACCAGTAGCCCCATCATTGACTCTATTCCCATCATGCAGGACTCTCACCATGCAGGACTCTCACCAGAGACAAAGTACATGGTAAAGGCAGATAGGGCTCTGGTCACCAGCTCTTCTACTGTGGGTTTGGCCACACCAGAATTGCCCAGCCCTCCCCAGCCATCATGATCTAGGCAGAAAGTCCAACCAGAGGCCAGTGATTCGGCTACTTTTCTGCCAAGACCTGAGGCCACCAAGAAGTCAGGTGCCGTGTCGTTTATTGCATCCTCAACTCAGAATCAGAGATACTGTCTTCAGGGCAGACAAGGCTTGGCTTGTGGACATGAAGGCATTTGTTTTCTAAATTCAATCCTAGGTATTTCATTCACTTTGAAATGATCCAAAGAAGGACTTCGTGTACTGTCATTTCTGATTGTTATCACATAGGAATATTCTTGAGCTTTGTACATTATTGTTGTATTGACCAATATTATTAAACTTAAGTTTATCAATTTGCTGAGTTTCTTGAATTTTATATGCGGGTAATTATGCTGTCTGCTCATGACCTTCCTCTCTAAAGAACGCATATCTCCTCTTCATCCCATTGAGTGGCGTGAGGCTGACACAGCTCATACAGTGACTAAGGAGTGATCCTTAGCTTGCTCTGTCTTTAAAGGAGAGAGACTGAAGTGGCAGCATGTGGGCCATGTGCTAACATTAAAGACATTCCAGTATAGTCTTAGTTATTATCATTAATGCCTGTTGCATTTTTCAGAAAGCTTTCTAGAATTAGGGGATTATAATTTTATCCTGTAAGCTATTAATGTAATAAATTGTCCTAATGTTGAATCATGCTTACATTCCTTACAAAAATCTACTTGCCACTTAAATTGCTGAGGGCCCTGAAGGTTTTTTCACCTTTGCCAAATACATGTGCCTGAGCCAATTCCTCCTCCCTCCCCACTCCCAGGAGTTTTCTACATCTGCAAGATTGCTGGGGACAATATACCTTCCTTCTCCCTGGAGCTGCCTCAGCTGGTCCTGCTGTGGCCCGTGGCTCCACCCCAAGGGTCTTCACATTCTCCAAGTACTTAAGCCACCATCTCTACACCCCAAAGTCACTCCAACAGGTGTTCCACAAACACAGTGGCCAGGGGACACTGCACAACTACTGCATGTATGCCCACAAACAGCCCCAAGGCCCTGCACTGCTCCATGCAACCAAGGCTGACCACTGTAGCTAAGCTAATGCACCCTGCCAGCCCTGGCTCCTGCAACTGTATGTACATAACAGCTGGCCCTGGCCTCTGACTCCTGCCCCTCCCACCACTGTGTTTGCACCTATAGCCGTTCCTACAGCTGCATGTGCACGCACATGTCCATTCTGGCACACAGCTGCCTCCACACATGCAGACAACCTAACCCATGTCACGAGTCACACAAAACCCACCGTGGCAATACACTTACTTTTTTAAAAAAGATTTATTTATTTATTTATTTATTTGAGAGCGTTACAGACAGAGGGAGAGACAGAGAGAGGTCTTCCATTCACTGGTTCACTCCCCAAATGACCACAGTGGCCCAAGCTGGGCTGATCCGAAGCCAGGAGCCAGGAGCTTCTTCCAGGTCTCCCACACAGGTGCAGGGGCCCAAGCACTTGGGCCATCTTCCACTGCTTTCCCAGGCCATTAGCAGGGAACTGGATTAGAAGTGGACCAGCCAGGACTGAAACCAGTGCCCATATGGGATGCCGATGCCACAGGCAGAGGCTTAACCTACTGTGCCACAGCACCAGTTCCTGGCAATACACTTATTTTTTTTTTTTTTTTGACAGGCAGAGTGGACAGTGAGAGAGAGAGACAGAGAGAAAGGTCTTCCTTTTGCCGTTGGTTCACCCTCCAATGGCCGCCGCGGCCGGCGCGCTGCGGCCGGCGCACCGCGCTGATCCGATGGCAGGAGCCAGGAGCCAGGTGCTTTTCCTGGTCTCCCATGGGGTGCAGGGCCCAAGCACCTGGGCCATCCTCCACTGCACTCCCTGGCCACAGCAGAGGGCTGGCCTGGAAGAGGGGCAACCGGGACAGAATCCGGCGCCCCGACCGGGACTAGAACCCGGTGTGCCGGTGCCGCTAGGCGGAGGATTAGCCTAGTGAGCCGCGGCGCCGGCCACAATACACTTATTTTAAGACAGAAGAAGTGATGTCTTGGGAGAGTGAAGAAATGAGAAAGACACTGCAGGGGCAAACCTGCAGTGGCCCAGTCACACCGTGTCCATGGCACACATGGTGCATCCTCCAGTGCTCCACACATTCCGGAAAAGTGGCTGTTCTCATCGCTTCACAGATAGAAACGCTGAGACTTCAGAGGCAAGGCCACTTGTCCAAAATCCCAGAGGCAGTCCTTTGCGATTCGTGATATAAACCCAAGTCTGCCCAGCCCCAAAGCCCCCTCCTTCCACTCCATGTCTGGAGCAATGAGCCCCCCTGTCCTGTCTTCCATCATCACCTCCCACCTGCTCACCCTCAATGAATCACAAAAGCAAGGAGGACACAGAGAAATGTGCTCACTGATTTATTCACAGGTTGATTAGTATTAGCTTTGCAAGGATGTGTGGTGACGGAACCAAGTCCTCACCACAGAAGGCCCCAGAATCCAAGTCATAATGGAGGTTGCCCGCGCATACGGAGAGGGAAGCCGGAGGGTCTTCCACGTGGCTGGATCAAGCTGGGGAAAAATCAGAAAAGATCTTCAGTAAGAAAGCAGCCAAATCATCTCAAAGAACCCTCATGAGAGAGATTAAAAAAAAAAAAAGAGAGAGGAAGGTGGAATGGTTGCCAGAGTCTTGGTATCAGGAGAGGGAGTTCAACTCCTGTGTCCACTGTGCAACTCCAGACTTAGAGCGTGGAATGAGATTATCTTGAAACTCCACTGACCCTCTGGGCTGTGACTCGGCAACATCATGGAAACAGCCTGCGTAAGCAATATTTCGTGCACAAAGTACTTTGCAAAGCACTTTGAATTTCATTATGTCCATTTTACGGATGAAGAAACTGAAGCCCAGAAAACCACTTGCCTGGGCCCCTCACCCAGAGAAGCTGGAATAGAATCAAAGCCACAAGTGAGCCTATGAAAATCCTTGCCCCGAGACCCGGAGAGCAGGGCTCTTGAAGGCCCAGGAAGCCGGACATAGGCCTTGCTCGAGGTGGGGGTCCGCCACACCAGTGCGTCGAATCCGTCCCAGCCCCTGCTTACCTTACACGGGGAGAAAGCAGGCTTTCCCACAGCTGCCTTGGCAGCACTTGAGGTTGTCCTTGCACTGGCTGTCCGTCTCGCACAGGTTAGGCGGATTCAGCATCAGACACTGGAATTCCACCAATGGGCAGTTCCCAGGCTTCTCCCCTGGTGAGATCAAGGCCACAGGTCAGAGGCCTTGCACTTTAGACATCACCCCTTGTTTCTTGGACCCAACCTCTGCTCCAGCCCCCAGCCTGAGCAGGGAGGATCACCTCTTCCCGGTCCCCCATCACCACCGGCTCCTCCCTAAAACATCCCCTGAAGCAGCACCTTGGCTCCCCCAATATCAGGTACCCAGTCAGTGCAGGTTGACCAGCTGTCCAGTGCTGACTGCACAGTGAGTCTTCAAGAGCCCTGTTTATCTGATTGCACAGAGGATCACCTGGAACAGGGAGCTCCCGATGGGCTGGCTGCTTCAGCTTAAAGGAATGCCTGTCTGACCTCCAGGAAGAATGATAGGGCCAATTCAACCAGATGCATGAGCAGCAGAAGCAACTGACCCAGGGAAGAGACAGAGGACTCCCAGGCACGGCCACGCACCCAAGAACAAACGAGTCACACAAAGGCAGGGAATGACAAATTGAGAGAAATGAAGAGTAACAAAACCAAGAGAGCCATTGAGAGCTAAGCCAAGGGCAGGAACAGAGGTAGACAAAGGAGAGCCAGGAAGAGTCACAGACAGGGTCAGAGAGTGAAGGAGAGTGGGGAGTCAGAGAACAGAATGGAGAGGGAACCCTGGGCCAACAGAAACATTTCCAGGTGCTCAGAGGCCTTGGAGCTCGGCTGGACTCACCTCCCACCCTCAGGGAGCTCTCCCAGGAACGGGCTAGAGATGAGAGCCTCAGGAAGCCATGCCCACACCACCGGGGCTCCCACCTCTCACCCTGCAGACAAGATTGGGCCAGGATGATTCCAACTCACCATTGTCCACACCTTCCACGGCCCAAGTTGCCATGGACCCCAGAACAACAAGCACCACGATGGGGAAGAGGACGCTGGACCTCATGGTTCAGGCAGAGTGGCTCTGATGGCCAACGGGAAACCTCACTATTTATACCTTCCCAGTGGGTGTGGTCCCACTAGAATTTTTTGGTCCCTCCCAGCTGCTATTGTATAGGCAGGAAGCTTGGCCAGAGATCAGCAATTCTGGTCCAGGGAGACAGTGGCTACTTCCTTTTTCCAGGCCACACCGTGAGGGCCCCAGGAGAGGTTGTCATAGCAGCTATCTGAGTCCTGAACACTCTGGGGACCCCGGGTCCCTTAGCCTTGGATGTGGAAGGAGTGAAGAGCTCAATTATAAAGGAGCTAACTGGCCTCAGAGCTGAAACCAAAGACGGCTCCTCTACCGAGGCTTTGTGGGCACACCCCTGATACTCACATTCCTGGGCTCTCATGGATTGTGCATTGCTACTACTGTGTAACACACTTCCCATCTCAGACATTCAGATGACCGTCACTCCACCAACAGGTGTTTCTTTCCCTCTAGTAGTTGCACTGTTATATACCCAGAGTTAGGGCAGATACTTGCCACAGCAGTCAAGATGCTGGTTGGGGGTCTGGTATTGTGGCACAGAAGGTTAAGCTACAGCCTGTGATGCCAGCATCCCATATGAGTGCCAGTTCAAGTCCTGGCTACTCCATTTCTGATCCAGCTCCCTGCTAATGCACCTGGGAAGGCAATGGAAGATGGCCCACGTACTTGAGCCCCTGCCACCCATATGGGAGATCTGGATAGAGTTCTAGGCTCCTGGTTTTGACCTGGTCCAGCCCCATTTGTTGCAGCTATTTGGGGAATGAACCAGTGAATATAAGATGTCTTTCTCTCTGACTCTCCCCCTCTATCTCTAACTCAGTCCTTGAAATAAATAAATGCATCCTTAAAAAAACATAAACAAGATTGGAGTCAGTGTTTGAGTCCTGGCTCTAATCTTTTTTTAAAGACTTATTCTATTTTTCTGAAAGGCAGAGTTATAGAGAGAAGAAGGGAAAGACAGAGAGAGAGGTCTTCCATCCTCTGGTTCACTCCCCAGATGGCAACAATGACTGGGGCTGGGCCAGGCCGAAGCCAGGAGCCAGCAGCTTCTTCCAGGTCTCCCATGCAGGTTCAGGGACCCAAGGACTTGGACCATCTTCTGCTGTTTTCCCAGGCACATTAGCAGGGAGCTGGATCAGAAGTAGAGCAACTGGGACTCAAACCGTTGCCCATATAAGATATGGGTGCTATAGGCCATGGCTTTAACCCACTGTACAACAGTGCCAGCCTCAAGAGTAAACTTTATCTGCAGAGTTCAACTCAGACTCCTCTGACCACCGTGTCCATGCTGTTGTTTCACCATCGTGTGGCCTCCTGATGTGTGAGAGTCTCCCATTCATTCCTCAAGGCGACTGTGGACATTCAAACAGACCTGGAGCAGTGCATTGTCATTGAGTGACGGCTCCACATCAAGTTCTTTGTTAGGTATCCTCCGATCAGGCAGTCACCTGGCAGCAGATCTCTTTATGCAGAAGACACTCAGTGGTTTAACGTTTGGTGGGAAAAGAACAGAGGGAAATGTCCTGGGTAACTGCTAAAAGCCTGGTGCATTCATCCCTAGTTGGAGCACCCAGGGTGGCAGGTACGGGAGAAGTGGCAGGTGTGACTTCCACCACACGGTAATGCCATTGCCAGGTCAGGAAATTTTTTACTGGGAAGCAGAGATGAAGAGACAGATACACAGAGACAGATACAGATGCAGAAAGAGCTCCTATCTACTGGTGCACACAATGACTGGAACTAGGCTAGGACTGAAACCAGGAACCAGGAACTCAATTCACACCTCCCACATGGGTGGCAGGAGCCCACTTACTTGCGTCATCACCGCTGGCTGTCAGGGTCTTCGTGGGCAGGAAGCTGGAGTCAGGTGCTCGGATATGGGAGGTGGGTGGCAAAGTTGGGTCAGACACCTGCTCCCCAGGCCAGGGTGTCCGCTCCTCCCCTCCTCCTCTCTCCCTCTTTTGCTCAATGCCACGCTCGAGACAACACCTGGGGGTTTCTAAATGTTTGTTTTTATTGAGGGAAAAGGAGAATTCAGCAGCTAGCGCTTTCCGTCTATAACCGAGGGGTGAACGCCAACACTTTCTCATCAGAAGCGAGCCCCTGTGATCCATTAGTGTCTTCCACAGGCTCCCTGAGAGGACAGTCGTGCACGATTATAACTTTAAATCACAGACTGAAGATTAGCGGGGACCTCAGAGGTCAGAAACCACATACAGCCCCCGGACCAAATCTAGGCAGCTGCCTGTCCGTGTGAGCGAGGTGTTACAGAAGCATGGCCACACATCCGTTCGTGGACGTGTTGTCTGTGACGACTTTTCCACCACCCTGACAGGGCTGAGTAGTTGCAACAGTGATTGACCACAACGCCTAAAATATTTACTGTCTGCTCCTCTATGGAAAACTGTTTGCTGCCCCCTGATCTAGACCGACCTCTCAGTTTGCAGTAAAATAGACCGAGTCTCTCCAGCCCAAAGTTGCCTAATGAATTAATGACACAACACAAGATGGAGCTCTTCTAAAACTGGTTACTAACTGGTTACTCACAAGCAGAGCTGCAGAACCGGCTCGGTGGTGTACATTCCCCTCCCAACAGGATTCTAACCAGAAATTGATTCATCACTCCACTTCACACACCCTGTGTTGCTTTCTAGTAAATCCCATATCGTTGTTGAATTCATTCGTATTTGTTCAATTCATTCACACAAAATTATTTAACAGTTTCTTACCACATTTGCCAGGTTTTGTGTTAGACCTTGAGGCCACAGTGAAAACACAGGGAGCCAATACCACGTGGTCCTTGAGTCTGACCTTGAAGGGCTGGCGCTGTGGTGCAGCAGGTTATGCTGCGGCTTGGAATGCTGGCATCCCATAAGGAGTGCCGGTTCAAGTCCCAGCTGTTCCGTTTCTGATCCAGCTTCCTGCTAATGCACCTGGGAGGGCAGAAAAAATTGTCCAATTCTTTGGTGAGAGACCAGGATGTTCTTCATTCTGGCCCAGCCTCAGCTGCTGTAGGAATTTGAGGAGTGAAGCAGCAGATGATCTCTCTCTCTCTCTCTCTCTCTCTCTCTCTCTCTGAAGCTTATGACAAACGTTTGGCACAGAGTCGGGTCTACTCGATGCCATAGACATTGTTTATATTACAGTCAAGTTTCTGCATCCATGAGGCACATAGGAGGCTGCCAGTCTTGAACTACAGGCCTCATCTTGGGCCTGGACCCATCTGCCCCATGAAGTGCTTGACAAAATCTGACTCCTACTGCACTAAGCCCACTGGTGAGCATCTATACATGCACCCATTAGGCCACTGTGGTGGTCCCCACTGACTACCAATGTCCTAGGGGGAAGGGGGACTTGGCAACCAAGGGGACCTGCACATCCAGCGCTAGCAGGGTGGGAACCCTGGGCTCCCATAGGTGCCTGAACTCTGAACTCTCCTTTTGAGTCCCCACAGTGACTATGAAGGGTGCAGCTTTAAATAATTGTTTTAAAATGGTCATAACAGGTCTAGTGAGAGACTACAGAAGAGAGGCAGTGAAATGGGCACCTGTAACAGCACCTTTGTTCTTGCTCTTGAACAAGGGGCTGTATGTTTTCACCTTGCACCAAGCCCTGAAATCACAGGGCCAGCCCTGGAGGGGCTTATGGGTGCACACAGAAATGGCCATGCCTCATCCATCGTGGCTCAGGACGGGCCAGAAAGCAAGGATCGATCAGAGGCACACCACACACACACACACACACACACACACAGAGACATCAGTGGGAAACCCTGCTGAGGAGATGGGTGCAGCCACACATTCGCACCAGAAGCCTGTGGAGAGGGTGACGGACAGTGGTCGAGGTGGAGGAGAAAGAGAGAGAGAGAGAGAGAGAGAGAGAGAGAGAGAGAGACTCTTCCATGTACTAGTTTATTCCTCAAACAGCTGCAAAGGCCAGGCCTGGGCCAGGCTGGAGCCAGGAGCCTGGCACTCCATCTGGGTTTTCTACTTGGGCAATAGGGGCCTAAGCTCTCAGGCCATCTTCTGCTGCTTTCCCAGGTACATTAGCAGGAAGCTGGATCAGAAGTGAAGCTGCCAGGACTCAGGCACAGAAAAACAAATGTTGCAGGTTCTCATGCACATGAGGAAGCTAAAAAAGTTGACTTCATTGAAACAGAGAATAGAACAGTGGTCATCATGTGTTGGGAAGAAGAAGGGAGAGAGACAATAGAAGGGAGCTGGATAATGGATACTGGAGTGCGGCTGCTCGCGAGGAATGCCCCAGTGTTCTCCAGCACAGTGAGGTCAGTCTAGGTCACAATTTAATGTACATTTTATAGATAACTAGAAGAGAGAAGTTCAGAGGTTCCCAACCCAAAGCGAGGTAAACTTCAAGGAGATAAAAAGTGAATTGCCCTGGGTGGATTACACATTGTATACGTGCGTCAAATTATCACACTGTACCCCATAAACATATGCAATCATTATATGTCAACTAAAAGTAAAATATAAAACTGACCGGGAAAGTTAGGCAGTTTCCATCACCTCTGGAGAGCCCCAGGTGGCTGATGTGGCATCCAGCTTACAGGGGGAACAATGGCCTGTCTGCTTCCTTCTCAGTATTTTCCCACCCCAGACAGTTTGAACTTTACAAGATTTGAACTTCCTTCCCACCCACTCGTAATATTCCTCATAAAACCGGGAAAGGTAAATTGTTCTTTTGGGCTCAAATGCTAGTGGGTAGGGATGCTGGCAAAGCATAATGTGAGCAAAGGTTAAAAAAAAAGACACGCATCCATCAAAGAAACAGCAGGAGGAACACCCAAGAAGGGTTGGTCTCAACCAACGGATGCCCAGCGAGAGCTGGTGGGGGGGTGGGTGTGTTAATCAGGGGCTACAGTCCGTTCCCGCAAAGGCTGGGTGTTTGCCCCCCTAGAAGGCATCTACTTATTCCAAGTTAATGAAATGGCATTAAGTCCTGAGGAAGTGCCACAGGGGTCTGAAGGCCAAAGGAAAGCAAGTGTTGGCCATGAAGCTTCCCCCGTGACCACTGTGAAAGAAAACCTAAGTGATTCCACTCTAGAACAGAGGCAGAAACAGCCTGGGAGGACATCCCCCAAGTTACCAGACTGCAACTCCTTTTGCCTGGATTTGGACGGTTACCCTGCAAAAACAGCAGTAAAAGTACAAAAACTCCGATATCCATGGACATGAATGTTTTCCAGAAGCCCACGTAAATGCATAGCGTGCAAAAGCTATGCATGGAGTTCACAAAATTTTCACCAAAAGAAACATCTTTTCATCCCATTTTCTAAGAGCATTTTGACATAGCCTCACGCTTGTAATATGGCTGAGGCAGCTCCTCCCGTCTTCTCAAACTCAGTGAGGATTCCTTCCGGTTAGCTTAGCTGACTACAAGTAAACCTTTGAACCAATGACTGGATGTCCTCATTGGTTGAAGATGTCAAAATACTTCATCACTGAGCGATGCAGTTCTCGGAGAGCGGAAGTGGGGTGATTCTCCAGGAGTAAATTAGGACAGAGCTACCAGGAAAAGGATGGAAGGACACTCAGCGGTAAAGACAGCGTCTTCTGAAGCCACCTCTTTTGGCTACTGAAATCTCCCTTAAACACTTCCCGAAACACCAACACCTGCCTAAAGTACACTCGAACTCTCTCCCAGGGAAAGCCAACAGAATGTCTCTCATGGGACAAAATCATCTCCAGGTCTAGTAACTGTTCTCTCAGTTAAACACAGAAAAGGCTCTTTGTAGTCTTTACAGTTTAATAGGTTTAACCACTTCGAATGTGCCTAATATACAATGATAGAATGAAAAGAGAAAAACTACAACTAAACATTGTGTTTACAAAAGAGAAATAGAACAGCAATATACAGGTGGCCACTAGCCCCTGGCATGTATTATCTATGCAGTAAGACTGGGATTGGGCTGGGGGTCGTCCTGCCTAGTGATGCCGTAACTTCCTCATAATGTGGAAAAAACAGTGCTGCTCTCTGGGGGCCTCTCCCTGCCTGCTGCCTTCCACGGCCACCTCTCAGAGAAGTATTGCTAAGGTGTCACTTCTTCAAGAGAGGGAGGGAGGAAGGATGCACCTTCTCAAGAACTCATTCCAGATGAATGCAGTGGCACCAGGGACTGACCTGAGCCATCAGTGGCTGTACAAGGTGAGGCTTGGATTTCTTGTCTAGTTGGCTCCTGGTCTCTTTGCCTCAAATAAAAGCATGGGCTACTGATCCTGTTCAGGCACCTCTATGAGTCAGTCTTGTCTTTTATTTACTTGGCTCAACTGTAGTGTGCACTTCTAATCCTAACATACACATCTCCATTTAATTCTGAAAAATACTCTCCCTTTATCTCTTTGGCTATTGCTTCTCTGCCATTGTCTCCATTCTCTTTTTGGAAATTCCACTGGGTATTTATTGAACCTTTTATTTCTAGTCTTCTTGTTTTGCATTTCTCTCCTATCTTTCTCTTCTTCATCTCTCTGCACTGTATTCTGGGTGAATTCCTCAGTATTAGCTTCCAGTTCACTAAAATTCTTTCAACTGCATCCAGCCCAGACTCTATTTTGTATGAATTTTTTGTTTCAATAGTCATTGATTTCCAGGACTCCTACCTGGTTCTTTTGCTATATGTTCATCTGATAAATCCAAACAATGCATATTTTACTGCTACCCTTTGATAAAGTAAACAGAACAACACTTTGACCAATTGTTAGGTAGCTTCACATCCTGAAAATTCAGCTTTGTTAGTTATTTTTTTAAAAAGTAAAAAAAAAGAGAAATATAATCCCTATCAATAGCAAGCACCTCACAACAGCTGGCTTATTTAATGTTAATCTCTCTCTCTCTCTCTCTCTCTCTCACACACACACACACACACACACACACACACACACAACCCAGAGCTCATAGAGAGCTATAAGGTCATCTGCTACTCAGAGTGCCACATCTTGAAAGATCTTTGTCCAGTTGACTATCAACAGAATCTACTTTTGGACTCTACATCCTTTGTCGCTGACTTGGAGTGTGATCTTGGTCTGGATAGTGCAGCTCTGTGCCTCAGTTTCCCCATCTGTACCCTGATAGGGTTGAATTAGAAGAAGAAGGTGAAGCCTGCTCTAGAACTGATGTTACAGAGACTCACTGGACCACCCTACCCACAGCTGGTGGGATGTCCTGCTCCCGAGGGTTGGCTTGGTCTGAGCCCTAGCTTGGTCTTCTGAGATCTGGGGTGGGAAAGGAGGAGCAGAGGGAAGAGTGGTGTCCACCCCTCGGTAAAGGAGGCTGTTGAACCTCAACTCTGGCCTCTTGGCTCTGAGGCCTGGTCCCTCAAATCCATGCCTCTGTTACATTCACAATATCATCTGCTTTGCCTTCTCCTGGTGTTGGGAGAGGGGAGAGTTTGAGATCTGTGATTCCCTTTGTAAGTTAGATGCCCTTCCTCCATGCCTCACATCACCCAACCTTTTGCTGATTTGGATAATCTTGAGGGAGAAAATTCATATTGATTTCAGGGTTTTTTAAAAGACTCATATTTATTTGAAAGGCAAAGTTACAGAGAGAAGGAGAGACAGAGACAAAGAGATCGATCTTCCATCCTCTGGTTCACTCTCCAAATGGCTGCAATGGCCAGGGCTGGGCAAAGTCAAAGCCAGGCAAAGCCAAAGCCAGGAGCCATGAACTTCATCCAGTCTCCCACAGGGGTGCCGGGGCCCGTGACTTGGGCCATCTTCTGCTGCTTTCCCAGGCTCATTAGCAGTGAGCTGGCTTGGAAGTGGAGCAGCACCCACATGGGATGGCAGCATCACAGGTGTTGGATTTACCCGCTATGCCACAATGCCAGCCCCAATTTTTGTTTTTATTAGCACTGGTAAACAGCAGGTCCTAATAAATGTAGGTAGTAAATTCCGTGAGTTAACAGATCATGTCT